AGGACAGATCCTGAAGCTGAGGCTCCAATACTTTGGCTATCTCATGAGAAGAGAAGACTCCCTGGAAAAGACCCTGATGTTAGGAAAGTGTAAAGGCAAGAGGAGAAGGGGACGACAGAGGACAAGATGAATGGACAGTGTCATCGAAGCTACCAACATGAATTTGACCCACCTCCGGGAGGCAGTGGAAGACAGGAGGGCCTGGCGTGCTCTGGTCCATGGGGTCATGAAGAGTAGGACATGACTTAATGACTAAACAACAAATTAGTATCCGATCTGTCTCTCTCATAACATACTATGTAATCATGCTAAGTAAATAAAAGAGCTCTCGGGGCACTGTCAGCAAGCTCTGCTGACTTGGACATCAGCTGTAGACTCCTTTGTTCTTTATCTAAGGCAATTACCCTTCCTTTGTTACGTGATCACCCACAATGTTACAGCACAAACCCTTATCCCTTCCAGTTCTGACTTTCCAAGCTGCATTCAATCCCAGTAATTATGCTTTTAAAATTTACATTAATCCCAATGGGGGCTACAATAGTGGCTCAGTGTCTAACAGAGTGTAGAGAAGTGAGGGTTAGGCCTTCTTTCCAAAAGCAATCCTTCAAAACACCCCCTGCTCACCACACCTGGTGTGATGGGAGCCTTCTTTTTCAAGCCTCATTACTGCACATGTGTAATCTGGATGGGAAAGTCATGCTGTGCTGCACTGTGCCTTCGACACACTCTGGAGAGCAGCCAAGGGGAAGATATCTCCTCAGAAACTGTTGAGCAACTTGGGTAGTAAAAGTGGACAGAATCCTACTACTCATGCTTGCCAGTGTTAAGTTCAACAATGTAAATCTCAATGATGAATTGCCACAAATTAAGAAGTCAGCTCTTGTATTTCTGGCCATGTGCAATACCTCTGTAATGGCAGACACAAGCATAAATATTAACATTCTGGCCACCAATAACTTGCTTCACTCCTTCCAGCAAAGACAGATACACATTACTAATCCTCCACTGAGCTGCATCATTTGTACATCATCACACATACTCTATAAGGAAATCTATAAGAATTTTACAAGTAATGTTACTCAATTTATTTTCATTTCCACCAAGAGTGGCATAAGGCACTCATTACAAAATATAGCTAACAAAAGCTCAGATAACTATTCCCCCATTAGTTCCCATCTATCAATCATACCCAAACCTGGGAATAAAAGCAGATCCACGTAGTTCGAGACCTTGCTCAAAGTTATTGTAGGTGATAAATACAGAAATCAAATTACAGGACTGTTCCACACCAATATCAGATACTTGTTGCCCAACACAGCAAGCTCCCTTCAGTGCCTTTTCATAGAGCAGCAGTTGTCGCCATTGCAAATGAATGACAGATAAGTGATCTTATGCAGGCAAATGAGCTTGTCCTGGGTCTATGAATTCTCCATGTTCACAAATAAGTTTTTTTCCACCAGAGGAGATTTTTTTGTCTGAGGATGGAAGACACTGCTGTCCCACAGCTTTCGCATTGAGTGCACTGGGTTTGTTTGTGAATGGGTGCCACTGGCCTTGTACACTGGGGTTATCTGTATGGAATGGCTTTCTAATACGGATTATCTCTAGGCCAGATTGGTTGGTCAGCTTCTCGATGATCTTTGCAATTTCCTCAGGTGTTTTGCTAGTTAACGTTTCCTCTTTTACGGTTCCATTCACTAGAAAGAGAATAAACTAAATGAAAGTTGGACACATTTTCATTTCATCTATGTTTATCCCACACCCAAGATTTTCAGTTGCTGAATCTCTATAAACCCATTCTAGACCTGCTTACTGCTGTGAACTAACTCCCTATGATTTTTAGCTGATGATTTAAGGCCAAGTTTAGAACTCTGTAATTTTTCTAGCAGATAATGGACCCCTTATCACCACTAATAATGGACCCTGTACTTCAGGGCTGTAGAACATGTATACCTCTGGAAGTTACTGAAGCAGAACTCCCATCATGCCTGGCCATACTGGCTGAAGCTAACAGATAGTGGCAATCAAACAACATCATCAGAGTCACATATCCCAGACTTTCTGTGTTTCTACAGTCTCACTGAGAAAACAAGAGTTGATTATGGGGTGTACATTTTATAGGTACTATCGATAATGTCTGCTACCAGTATCTATCTCTCTACCTGGCTCTATTAAATGGTAGCATTTCCCATACTCACAGTATTCAGCAACCACTGTAGGGACCCGGCACTTCTTTGGGGTCACGTAAACCACAATCCCAGGGTTTTGCCTTGCAAAGTCCACCACCTTTTCTTCAATGTATTCTCTAGAACAGAACAAAGGATGCCCCACTCAGGTGTTTTTGAAAACAAACTTAAAAGAGCTGAAGAAATAACTAATAATAATAATACTCCCCCGCCCCAACTCCAGTATTTAAGAAGGGTTATTGACTTATTGCTTGGAATATTTATGGGTGGACCTAATCCATTTTCTCAACTAACAGTACTGCAAAATCTTGTAGGCAGGATATGAAGGTGGCTTCTATTTTATTTATTTCATTTATACCCCTCCTGTCTGGTCATTGTGATCACTCTAGGCAGCTTCCAGACAAATAAAAAGAATACCATATACTTATAACAAAATAAAAAAATATATATAACAATAAGCAATAAACATTCTTCAAGTTGGAAAAATAACAAACAGTAAGTAAAGAAAGAAGAAATAAGTATTAACTGGAGGGAAGGCCTGCTTAAACATCCAGGTTTTTATTTGGGTCTTAAAAATACCCAGCGCGGGGGCCCGCATGAATCTCTGGAGGGAGGTTGTTCCAGAGGCGAGGAGCACTGCCGAGAAGGCCTGATTTCTTGTTTTTTCCTTTCAGGCCTCCCTTGGCATCAGGCTCCTCAGCCTCACCTCCTGACTCAATTGAGTGACACAGGTAGATCTTGGTGGGAGAAGGCGTTCCATCAGATATCGAGGCCCTAAACCGTTCAGGGCTTTATATGTAAGCATCAACACTTTGAAGTCAATGTGGAACCGAATGGGCAGCCAATGCAATGTGGCCAGAATAGGAGACATATGATGGAATTTTCTCACTCCACTAAGGAGTCTGGCCGCAGCATTCTGCACCACTTGAGTTTCCGCATCAGCCTCAAAGGTAGCCCCACGTAGAGCGCATTACAGTGGTCTAATCTTGAGATTACGAGCGCATGCACCAAGGTAGTTTTTTCCAATGGGAGTTCACAAGTATACAATCTCAAGCCATGGAGTTTCCCCATTTATGAGTTTTCCTGAAAGAACTCAGACAGCATGGCCAGTGGATTCTGGAAGTTATAGTCCAATGAAGTAATTTTTCCCCAAGCTTGCTCCTTGCCACCAATGCCATTTAGTTCTACGGCAATCACATATGCCTGGTGTTGGGTTTATGATTGCTGTTTATAAATGAGAATGCAACATTGCTTAGATTGTCAATATTAATTTTTTGTCAAGAAGCTAAATTTTTGATCGTCTCAGTGGAAGTCGTCTATGAATCTTTCATGCATGCAATGGCATGGTAAAGTTTGACAGGTGGCACTTATGGAGAAACTGGCAAAGGACATGCAAGCCCTGAAACTTGAGAACAACTGCTCAGTTTGTTGCAATACAGTTGTCTTTGATTACCTATAATAACACAAACAATTCAGTGCCAAAGCCACCACAAAATCATGTGGAACTGTGGAAAAATGTAATGTGTTAATATAATACTATCAATTATATTGAGCATAGATTTTCCTGATCTGTGAATTTATATTATATAGTTTCTGGTTTATAAGCTGTGATATTGTTGGTTAGCTATATATTGTATACAATTTTTCATTAATAAAAAAAGAAAGAAACTATTGAGTTCAATTTGGCTTATTTCCAGGGAAGAAGATACAGAATTGCAGGCTACTTTCATAATGTGTAATGTGCAGCTTTTTTCCCTCCATCCTAAATCTTGCATCTAACAAGATTTAAACTGGTGCTGGGGAATGTGTGGCTTTCCAGATATTATTGGACTGCATTTTCTATCAGCCTTAACACAGCTAAATGTAAAGGACAGAGATGCAGCTCAAAAAGTCTGAAAGGACACATATTCCTCATTCCTATCTAAATCAGAACAAAAAGCAAGCACCAAACGGTATGTTTTATAAACCCTTCAATCTGCACGAGTAAGAGTAAAAAGCAGGAAAAAATAATCTCCAACTATTATTTATCTGATTCTAAATTTGACTATTTTTCCATGAAATCACCACATTGAATAAATTAACAAATTTTAAATTTGCATGCTTTGATGTTACAATAACTTCAGTTAAGGCCTGAACAGCAGTTTCTATGCCCAGATGTTATCTAAATGCCAAATCCTTCATCAATGCACAGAAGAGTTTGTCACATGTCCTATTACAGATGAAGCTAAAAAAATGTAGCTCATTACTAGTTCAGTCATTTTGGCTCCTGGATATTACTGATAAAAGTAATCAAGATTCCCACCTAGATACAAGCAATCTCGTTTAGAGAGTTCTTCTGTGAATGAATTACTGTTTTGAATTGTTGTGTGTTCTTCCCATAAAACTCAAGGAAACACTGGCATTTATCACATAATTTGATTCTGATCTATGATACCGCAATGTCCACAGGTCTTATTTTATTCCTCTCAATGTATTCCACTTAATGCAATATAATTTAAGTGGTTCACAAAGTACTACAAAACTCCAACAAAATACATTTGATTTGATTAAGGCAATTTAGAGGAGCATCAGTAAAAGCCAAAGAAATTCTATATATACAAGTAGATTTCTCAGATTTCGTAGCCTAAACAAATAGCTCCCTTATAAAAAGTAATACAACATATGGCTAGTGTTCAAGAGACAAGAAAACACCAAGCAACATACATACGTATATACATATACATATATATATGTAACACATCTTAATAAGTCAGAAGGACTGTGATCCTTTTTATTTTGTTTACAACAATTTGCATAATCCTTCACCACTAGCTTTAACGACTGAGGCTGATAGAAGCTAAGGTCCAACATCTGGAGGGCTTCATATTCCGTTTCCAGTCTATGTGAACCCTAACCAAAATCTGCTCACCCATCTGCATGTATTCCCCCATATGTGAGAACTTCAAAGAGAAGTTAAGGCTTCAAGACAGAGAACTCAGTAACTCTTCTGCCCAGAAACAATTAGGTTGAGATTGCACTGTTACCCTTCCTGATGACTGATCTGCCTGGATGCAGTAACAAACACTGGATCACGATGCACACCCCGCCCCTTCTAAGGCACTTGTGGAAAAGGAAAAACAATGACTACAAATTTGTGCTGGAGGGTGGAGAACTAGGCTTCGGTTGAAATTTGGCTACTTCGCTCCAACTTATAAATAAAAATAAAGAACCAAAAGCTGCAATCATGGAATACATATTTAGAAGCTCCGATGTGCGTGGTCTTAATCACTGAAACCCCACCATTTATTTATTTATTATTTGACGTCTGTTTATTTATTTATTTATTTAATTTATATGCCGCCCACTCTACCCAAAGGTCTCTGGGCGGCTCCTTCTACCCCACCCCTCTAGACAGAGTCTACTCGGGGCGGCTTACAGATATAAAACATCATAAAATGTAAGCATATAAAACCGTCATTATAATTATCAAAATATGTCATAAAGTAATCACAGGATTAAGTCAACAAATTAGAAGTTCAAGATGGAGAAGAAGAAAAAAAAATTAAAAAGAAAAGAAAATCTAGTGTTGACTGGATGGAAGGCCTGCCTAAAGAGCCAAGTCTTTAAATGACTCTTAAAAACACCCAGCGAGGGTGCCAGGGTGATCTCTGGCGGCAAGGTCTTCCATAGTCGAGGGGCCAGTGCCGAGAAGGCCCGGTTCCTTATTCTTTCTTTCTCGGCCTCTCTCGGCGTTAGGCCCCTCAGCCATCTTTCCTGGCTAAAACGGGTGACTCGGGTAGATCTAGGAGGGAGGAGGCGTTCCGCTATGTATCGAGGTCCTTTTATACCCAAAGGCCCGCGACTGTACGAGGACAAGAAAGTGGAAAGCCTCCCAGGGAAACTCCCCGAGCCCCGGGCCCTTCCCTCGTGGGAGGAGGAGGAGGAGGAGCCCACCTGACGCCCCGCGAGCTCTGCGCGTCCCGACTGACAGTCAAGGTGAGGCGCTGGAGCTGACACACGTAACGGCCCACGCCGTTCCTCAGGACGCTGGCCAGGAAACGGCTCGCTGTCCCCCGTCCGGTCATGGCTGCCCGCAGCACGGCGGAAGCGGGTCGAACTACGACGCTCCTCCTCTAACCCCGGAATGAAAGCTGAACCGGAAGTGACGCAAAGGGGGCGCGACGTGACGCCTGAAGGTTGTGTCGGGCGCCATTTCCCTTCCCCTTTTACTGACACCGTAGATCTACTCGAGGGTTCGAGTTTTCGAGGGGCAGCGGTCGCGTTGCAAGTTGGTCCTTCTCCCTTAAGGCAGAAAGGAGGGATTGGCTCCCTTTGAATGTCTTTGGAGTTTATAATTTTAAAAGTAGGTCCGCGAGTATGATCTCTTGCCTCGTTACGTGGGGCCAGGATGGGTCGGGAGCTGTCCGGAGTTGCGCCAAAGCCGCTGTTTCAGCCTTTGCGTGTTACCGTATGACGGGTCCGACACAACAACTCCGTCCCCGTTTTGCGGACGCAGACCAACACTGTTGTGTATTTAAGAATGTCTTTTGAAGAACGGTCATCATTTGGAAGCTGTGTTTCAAAATTGTGCAGTGGAGCTTGTGAATTCAATTATTACATTCACATGCCGGCGGAGGCTGCTCTGAATTTCCAGGTTTTAAAAAGCTATTAAAAACATAATAGATTGATTTTTTTTACTATATTCTGCTATTTCAGTCACTCGAAGATCTCCGTCGCTGACTCAATAAGGGACGTTTGATACTCGCTTAGAAGAAGTAGGATTTACCCACGAAAGCTCCGCTCGCATAGTGTAGAATTTTTTTATTAGTGGCGACTTATGAGGGTATCGCCTATTCTTTCATTTGTATTTTGTAACGGCCCCGAGGCTCGGGATTTACCCACGTGACTTATAAGGGTATCGCCTATTCTTGCATTTGTATTTTGTAACGGCCCCGAGGCTCACCCTTTTTATTTCAGTATTACCAAGGGTGAAGCTTTAGTGGGGCTTTCTTTTGTGGCTAGGTATGAGTGCTAATTAGAATGCTCTCTCTTCCAACCAACCATCAACTGATCACAAGGCACGTACCACTCTATTTTTCTATATCTACGGCTTGCGTCTTTTCATTTCCCCCCCCCCAACGCGCCGCTCTCTTGTTCTATCTCTAGATGTTGCCAGACGCACACACGCGCTAGCTATTTCCGGAAGTGACGTTATCGTAATTCCTGGGTCACTGGCATGGCGCTGTTGTTACAACTGCACGTGGAGGGGATTATGCTAGAACAGGAGTAAAGGTGAAGCCGAAGCGGCTGAGGTGGCTGATTTTTTCGGCAGGTACTAAATATTGGAAGGATCTGAAGTCCCTCCCCGCGAAAGAGGCTGACTTTGGGACGCCGCGACCTCGCGCGGCGACCTTGTTCCTCCCTCGCAAGGGGCTTTTACTTTGGGAGAACCTGGTTCGCAAAGAAGGGACAAGTTGGCTGGGATTGGGCAGGTCCCCAGTAAATGAAGGACTTAGCCGGGAGGGTAGAGGAAGATGTTTGAGAGAGAGGGGGGTGGCTGTGAAGAAGGAGGTTTTTTTGCAAAGCAGGAAGAGGTGGTCTCAGATTGGAGGGGCTTACAGAGTTGGAAAGATCGGGAGTAAGATTTTTTAAGTTTGTGAAGTTAAAGGATTAGTATCATCTTTGTGCCACTTGTATTGAACAAATGTGGTTCACTACGCGCATTCTTTTTGCTCGTTGGTGCTTTGGGCGTCGGTGGATCATTGCAGGAAATCATGCTTGCAGACACTATAAGAAGGATTCAGTTCCATTGCCAGAGGGTCCAGCCTCACCTGCTTCAGTTACAGAGATCCGCCAGTATCTTAAGGCACAGAACATTCCCTTTCACGATGGCTATAGTTGTATTCATGTGCCCAGTATATTTGCTGAAGAGCCGCAGCGGGTTCGCCATAACTATAGTCTCTTTATTGACAAAACCACAGGTTTCTTTCTCTGTACAGCCACATTTGTTGAAGGGAATTGGCAGGACTTCCAGGCCAGTGTAGAGTTGCGACATAAAGGGGTAGTTGTAAGTGACCTGGAAAGGACCGATATGCCAAGAGACCATGCTGCAGAGGATGCTAGGCACATCTGGGAACGGGCCCTCCCTCTTTGGGAACTGCTGGATGAGCAAGAGACACTGGAGGCCAAGGCTGTTTTTGGCATTTCCAGTGTATCAAACACCACTCTCAAACGATTTTGTGTACGTTACCTGCGGGCTGCTCGAGCCTTGGTCTTTCCATGGTTCAGTCCCAGTGGCACCAGCCTGAAAGGGTTAAAACTTCTGGGAGTGGAGCGCCAAGGAGAAGCAGTGCACTATGTGGAAAATACGTTACCTCGCCCAAGTGCCTATCATAACCTTTTCGGGTTGCCGCTGATCAACCAGCGAGATACAGAGGTGGTGCTGACTGGTAGGGAGCTGGATGCCCTGGTAGTGCACCAAGCGACGGGGTTACCCACTCTGTCTTTGCCCCGTGGCATATCCTGTCTCCCTCCAGCTCTTCTTCCCTACCTAGAACAGTTCAAGCGGATCACTTTGTGGTTAGGAGAGGATCTCCGCTCATGGGAAGCTGCAAAACGTTTTGCCCGCAAACTAAATCCTAAGCGTTGTTCTTTGGTGCAACCAAGCGACCAGCAACTCTGTCCCTTAGAAGCTTTCACACGTGGCAAGAATGTCTTTAAGATTCTGCGCTCAGCCCTACCAGCTGGCCACAAGTCCATCATTTCATTTCGTCAGCTGCGCGAAGAGGTCTTTGGAGAGCTGGCCAACGCAGAACAGGTAGCTGGAGTCAAATGGACTCGTTTCCCAGAACTAAACAAGCTTCTTAAGGGCCATCGCAAAGGAGAGCTCACAGTCTTCACAGGTATCTAATTTTTTAAATAATAATAATAATAATAACAATAACAAATACCTTAGAACAGCAGAGGCAGAAGAGACCCTATGGATCATCAACTCAAGCCCTTCAGGGAGGCTAGTGGAGAATTGAACTATACCATAGAACAATAGAGGCGGAAGAGACCCTATGGATCATCAACTCCAGTCCTTCAGGGAGGCTAGTGGAGAATTGAACTCCCAGCCTCTTGCTCCGCAGCCAGAGGCCTGAACCGATGACTTAGCACTTTGTGTGGTGCTTTCTGTATCACTGCTGCAGGGTGTTAGGAACCTTCTCTTTGAGAGGTCTGAACCGATGACTTAGCTAGCACTTTGTGTGGTGCTTTCCATATCTCTGCTGCAGGGTGTTAGGAACCTTCTCTTTCTAGATACTGTTGGACCATAATTCCCATTATTGGTACTTGTTAGCCATGCTGGCTGGTACAATATTTGGAGGATCACAGGATCTGCTTTGTGTATAATATACACTGTATATATACTATATTTGCTTATATGTGTGAGAGCATTTAACTCTTATCTGGCCTAGCGTTCTTGGATTTTCTGTTGCTGCAAATCCTTGGATCACTTGTTCCTTGTAATATAGAATCATTATTTCATGTAATCTCATAGTGTGCTGCTCACAAAGCATACTGCTTAATAGCCTAGTAGCCTGTCACTATAGTTCTTATAGTAAATGCTAATGATTTGTTACGCCGTTCTTAAGAATTGCTAAATTACTTTACAGCACTCTGTAATTCTTGTTTAGTTTGCCAGCCCAAGGATTTGTTACTTCTAAGTACACAAATGTTTGCTAAAGAGGAACATAGGAGTATTAAGGTATTAAAGTATTATTTACCTCACAATTCACTCTTCCCTGTTTTGGATCTTTTCTACATCATTGTTTGTTGCCATGCATTATGTTTATCAGTTGCCATACTAAAATGGTGAGTTATGTTCATTATTTCCACTTGAAACACATGCATTTTGTATCAGTTAGAGATTTGCCTATGTTGAGATATCTAGTAGGACGAACAAAGAACACACATATGCTTCTATGCACAGGTGCACATCCATCCCTATACAGCTATGCATATGCTGAGAAGTAATTAGTTTTTCAATCACACATAGGTGTTTTTTTTTCCTCTCAAAGCCACTTCTTACCTCCAGAATTGCAAAAACACAGTTGGTTGCTGGAACAGCAGCTCTAAGGAGGTGGACACTCATGGGATAAGAAGAGGTGGTACTTTTCTGTAGTGCTTTCCTCATGAGTTTGGCACTTCTAGCCTACCTTATAAGCTAAATTTTGGATTCTACCTTGTACCTCATGTTCTTCTAAGTCTGGTGTCTATTATATTAGTGAATATGAGCTTCAAACCATATAGAACATAAGCACACATAAAGGTACAGATGCATATGGTAAGAATTCCCTGTGAATAGGAAAATGTTATGTGTTGTGCTGCTTTAAATAGCCTTGCATTATTTAACCATACATCTCTGCAGTGTATGCTTTTTAGCCATCTAGGTTCCATGCAGGCTGCGAAAAGGGCCTTGTAGCCTGTATGGAACCTGAGAGTTGGTGGTGTAGGTTTGAAAGGCTTGTCACTATTAATTTTGCCCTTGTTTCTGTGGAACAGGTCCAACTGGCAGTGGGAAGACAACCTTCATAAGTGAATATGCCTTAGACCTTTGTTTACAAGGGGTGAATACTTTGTGGGGTAGCTTTGAAATCAGCAATGTGCGCTTGGCCAAGATCATGCTTACCCAATTTGCCATGGGGAAGCTGGAAGAACAACTGGACAAGTTTGATGAATGGGCAGACAAGTTTGAGGACCTTCCACTCTACTTCATGACTTTCCATGGCCAGCAAAATATCAAGTAAGGTTTAATTTGTCAGCTTCTCTCTTAAAAGCCATATGTTAAATGCTCTTGATATGGTGAAGTAGTCGGAATGGTGTCTTAGTTAGCAGTGATACTAAGGTTGTAATCCTATGTATGTACTGTATGTTTGGAAGTAAGGCACGTTGAAACCACAAGAGCTCTTTTAAAGTAGATATGATTTGTGCAGAGGCATGAGTACCTTGGGAAAAGAAATCTCTTCCATTAGAATTGGGACTGGTGCTAAATGTGAACCAAGGAGTTTTTGCCTTGCTTGCAGCATAGCATCTCCCATTCCAACACCCTATTGGTTCTCTCTCCATTTGTATTAAGGCAGCATGATGGAAAGCTACAGGCCACTTCTAGCATGTATCGTCTGTCATTTCTAGCCTTTTGCAGCTTTGAAATCTGAGAAATACTGAATAGCCTTAAATAGTAGCAATATTTGGACTGTTGTCCTATGAAGTGTTTGGGGAATGTTAAATAAACAATGAATTGAATGTTGTAGGATAAGGTGATTGGCTTCTCACATATCTTTTTAATGCTTTGTTGTGCACGATCCTATGGTTACCTTGTGGTAGGATACAGGAGTATGTAGCATAATATGTGAATGATCATTTTGAGGGATGAATGGACAGGCAAGTTTGAAGAACCTTTTTGATCATTCTGGTTTCATTTCTCCACATACAACTACCTCTAATATTCTGGATCTTCTGGCATAATCGTTAGTTTAATAGATGTCTTTATGGCATTGAATTATTTGGAGGCTATTCATGTTGTTGACACTTTCTTTTCATGAGGAACAGAATATGGAATTTTAATACGAAACAGTGTGAGATTATTTATTTATGGTTTAGTTTCTTCCATCTTCAGTTGGACTGATGATGAAATTTGGCTGTTGTTTATGTGTAACTTTGGTATCCTGTTCTTCTGTGCAGGATGGTGATCGATACCATGCAGCATGCTGTATACATGTATGATATTACCCATGTCATCATTGACAATCTCCAGTTCATGATGGGTCAGGAGCAGCTCACTGTGGACAGGTAAGTCATTGCCCTTCTGACTACCTTTGATCTAGAAGGAAAGGGTGGAATCCAGCGTCATGGAAACAGAAGTCTGCTTGCGCAATTGACAACCTCCCTCTCTCTGCCTCCCTGCCCTCAATCTTATGGAAATGGTGGGGATTGTGCAGAGGGAGAGAGGGAATTGACGTCCTCATTGTTCACTGACAGAAGTAGTTCTATCAGCAGAAGAACCTGAATGGATATTCCTTGGTACATTGTCCTGAAATAACTTTTGTTCGTCTTTCGGACTTAAGAGTCCAACCTACATCAAGCTTCTGAGGGCCACATTTGACATCATGCTCTCAGATGCTTAAGCACAGTTAAACAATTGGAAGCAGGCCATGGGGTTATCTAAAAGGAAAAGCTAACTGGAATGTGAAACCAGCCTGAAACCAGGTTAGGCAAGAACTCATTTAGCTGAACTTCCTTCCCTGACAGCTTCAGTTCTTGAGCATGAATTTGTGATTTAAGCATGTTGGAAGCAGGCCATGGGGTTATCTAAAAAGAAAAGTTAACTGGAATATGAAACCAGCCTGAAACCAGGTTAGGCCAGAACTCATTTAGCTGAACTTCATTCCCTGACAGCTTCAATTCTTGAGCATGAATTTGTGATTTAAGCATTTAGCTGTGGCAGTAACTGCAGTTCAGCTAAATGAGTTCTTGCCTAACCTGGTTTCAGGCTGGTTTCACATTCCAGTTAGCTTTTCCTTTTAGATTGTTTAATAAATCACACATTGCAAATTCTGTCTTATTTATGTGAAATAGTTACCATATTTTTCCATGTATAAGATGCCTCCCCCACTTTTCTAAGACAACATTTCTTTCTTTGCAAGAAAGTGGAGGGGGAAGGCAGGAATCATCAAAGCGCTTTGATCCCTTTCCCCTCCATACTTCCAAGTATAAGACGACCCTCAATTTTTAATCTTAAGATTTTAGACAAAAGTATCGTCTTATACATGGAAAAATATGGTACTCTACCTTTCTTTTAAAAAAACACCTAAGGCAGTTTACATCATTCTACCTTTCTTTTAAAAAAAACACCTAAGGCAGTTTACATCATTAGAAAACAGTATTTGAAACTAAAAACAGTAAATATACAAATCCTAAAAAGGAGCAAACAAATGGCATGCTAAAAACTGTAAACAAAAACAACACTGAAACACATTCAAAGCAGTAAATTACAACCATCCATTTAAAACCACTCAGGTAGCCAGTCACTGAGGGAAAGGTCCATTTAAAACCACTCAAGTAGTCACTGAGGGAAAGCTTGCGTGAAGAGAAAGGTCTTTATTTGAGTCATTAAAAGGACTACTATACTAAAATAACTTTTGTAGTCTATTTGCCAGCATGACATTATTTTCATCATATATATTTATTTAAGATTGAAATCTGTGCTATCCCAAAATAATTTACCATAAGTACTTGTCGTCCCCCCCCCACAACTAACCTTATTCTGTCCAAATAATGGTAGACTGAGCACCAGGTTGGAGAAGACTGATAATAGATTTTTGAAAGCATGTTGCCAAACTTTTTCATGTATTTTACCATGAAATGAGTTTCTAGGATCTTACAAAAAACTTCTAAGCTTACATATATCTGTTTGAATTGCCTTTTAATTACACATTGGAGAATGACTCTTAGCTGAAATTTTACACAGCCTATTCTGTGACATTGTTCCTGTGCAGGTGGAATTTTCTATGCTTCCCAGTATTTCCTTGTTAAATGGCATCATTTACTGTTCTGGAAGGTAGAACTTGGGAAACCTCTTGTTTTTGGCATAATTGCTAGCCAAATTGGTTTAATTTTCTTACAACACCATATAAAGGAGACATTGGCATCTTAATTCTGGATAGCTTTATATACAATTAATGTCACTGCTGACATAATGTTTAGCTACGGTTAAAGAAGTTGTGAAATTGATACTGCAGTAAGGAGGGAAAATAGGACAAACATATGCAATCCAGCAGCCTCCTTCCAGTCAGCTAGCCATGGTTATGCAATCAGTTGGGAGCATTGTGCCCCAGCTTGCTTTAAGTAAAACCGGGTGCTGGGATGGGCATGTTCGGTGCTGGAATTATTCAGGTCCGTCAATGTGTGTTGCATTTATCCTTTGCAGCCTTCTTTAGTTAGCCAGCTTTCCCCCCTTTTTAATCAGAAAAGAACATTCAATCTTTCTTGGATGATTTTTCTTTCTTCTTAACTTCCTTCCTAATGTGCTTGTTGCCCAAGCTTTTTTACAGCAATATGTATTCATTCCACCATATATATGGTCATTTCAGACTTGCTGTCCAAGACTACATTGTGGGTGCCTTCCGAAAGTTTGCAACAGATAACAGCTGCCATGTGACTCTGGTCATTCACCCCAGGAAGGAAGATGAAGAAAAAGAGCTGCAGACCGCTTCAATTTTTGGGTCTGCAAAGGTGAGTATTTAAAAATCAGCAGATACAGAACAATCAGCCCTGCTTCAGCCAAAAGATGTTCATCCTCCCATGTCTCTTTTGCAGGCCAGTCAAGAAGCTGACAATGTGCTGATCCTGCAGGACAGGAAGTTGGTAACAGGCCCAGGAAAGCGCTATTTACAGCTCGCCAAGAATCGCTTTGATGGAGATGTAGGAATCTTCCCCTTGGTGTTCAACAAAACCTCCCTCACGTTTTCTAACCCTGTCAAAAGCAAAGCAGCCAAGCTGAAGAAGGTAAAAGACAATGACAATGGTGTACCCTCTAAGAAAGCTGCAGCAAATGATGATGAAGCTTCAAAGAAGAAGCAGACCCAGTCACTGAAAAACACAGTACCTGCTCCAGGGACCTTTCCTAATGAGCCTGTCACATCATGAGGAGTGTTGAAATATTGTTTAGCAAGGATTGGAAGCCAGCAAAAATCACTGCCTGCCATCCTATCATTGCAGCATTAATTAGAATGTAAACAGAGACATTGGCTGGATCTGTCCTGTTTCGTTGTGTCTGTTTCCTGTTGGTATCAAGTGTTAGAAATTATGAATGCATCCGTAACAATATCAGGGTTCTTCATATCCAAGCAGCTACCTGGAAAAAATGCTTGGGTTCCTACCCCTCCCCATTTTATCCACAAGGAGGCTTGCGGGCATGCTCATGCACCATAAGAAGGAATTTAGTATATGTTGGGGTAGGTGTAAGTCCATGGGACTTATGCCCTTCAGTTTCGTTCTAGGCTGGGCCTCTTTAAAGTGCAGTTGCTGCAAACAATGGAGAATATATCAAAAAGGAGCACAGTGGGAATGTGAACTCCTTTGTATGATTATTGCATTAATTGGTGAATCAAATATAAAGGTCTGATGCAAACATGTAAAGTCTTTGGCACTGGGTTAATGATTCCATTTGGTCACCGTTATACATGTTTGTATTGCAAAACCACTGGCTAAAACTAAAATTGTGAGAGGAGCTTTGCTTTTCCTCCTGATCCAGAGTTTGAATGACAGAATTATAGTTTCAGCTGAAGAGGAGTCAGCAGGGTCTGGAACTGAGGTTAGGTATTGAGAAAGCTGAGACACCGGACTGTGGGGCTGGAGAAAATCATTAGCACAAAGGCAATAAACTTAAATTCTACAGTTTTAAATTATTTCTTTATTACATGTCTGTTTGATACTGTCTCTAGGCTGAACACTAAGTCCCAGTGTGGATTCTGTTGAGATGTCTGCTTGAATGAAAAGGTTATAGCACTCATATTCAAGAGGAGGTTGAGAAAAAAATGCCTCTCAGTAAAGTGATGCCATTTCATTGAAAAAGCCTTTCCAGGCTAAACTAAAGCTTTGGATTGCTTCCCCTAACCTTTTCCCACCACTCTCTGCCTGTTCAAGTGCTGCAACTGTGAAAATCCTGAGCAGATATGTTTAGGGCACTGGTAGAGAACCTTGGCCCGCCAGCTGTCTTGGACTGCACCTCCTGTACCCCTTTGCCATTGGTCATGATAGGTGGGGCTGATGGGAATTGTAGGCCAAGCTATTTGGAAAGCCAGAGGTTCCGCACTCCTGTCTTGAAAGAAAGTGGAAATGAGAGTCTTGAAAGTATATTCAGTACTGTATAGGAAATGCTGTTCTTGGAAAACTGCTCTCAAACATGATGTTGAGATATGCACACGCCGCAAAGCTCTGATGCAGAATTCAAGTGGATTCCCTCAGCCTTCAGCTTGGGCAGGTGGAGGGGGAATTGAAATTTCCACTGACTGTATTTTGGTGTGGCCCAGGAGGAAGAGCCTCCATCTTTTTTGAGTATTTGAAAGAGTTTGTGCAGGCTTTGGAAATGTGTTACTTTGTACTTTTCAGATGTCATTAATTTCAAATTTTCATCCCATACTTCCTGTGTGCTGTGCTTCATATTGTCCACAAGAGGTCAGCCTTTGTTTAGGTTTCACCCATCTCTTCAAATGCAAGGGTTTGCATAATGATACTGTACTGTACTTTACTTCTATTGATTTATGTGCTAACCTGCAGTTCCTTCACTAAGTGCCAAGCCCTGACATGTAATTCTAAAAGCTCAGAAACTGCAGGCTATAGTAGACATTAAGACAGACCATGTTTAGTAAAACTACCTGCAGGTTGCCTAGATTTGAACTTCTGGGTAGATGCATAGCCTCCCCCCCCTTTTTTTAACGGGTCTAGCAAAAGAGCTTACATAACCTTCCAGGGCGTGTTATTATAATCAATAGGGGCTTTTTTCTCCCTTCATATGTACATTAAGGCATCTTGAGCCTCTTCTCTGCTTGTCCTCAGTGCCTCTGATAAGCAGCTTTTCTCTTTTTGGTTTAGAGCAATGTTTAAGATACTTAAAAGTATTAATATATATCCATCTCAGCTTGTAAATCCTTTGTGGAGATGACAATATTTTCTTCATCCTTATAGACACATGTTTTCATCTTCAGAACCTCACCTTGTAATTAGACAGTGTGGAATTATCTATATTCAGTAGAATGAAAGGACCTGTAAAATAGTTCAAGTGGGTTGTGGGAGCAAAAGCTTTGACAAGATGGGAACTTAACCTTTTCATTGGAGCATAGACTTTAAATCAAGGATTAATTGAACATGATAATTTGAATCAATGGTGATAGGAGACAAAGAGCAGGAGTCTCACAAACAGTTTACTGGCAGTAGTATATAATGTTGAGCACTCAGAGACCAGCTAATACATGTGCTCATTGACTTTATTCTTCAGCAGGCTTTCCTGTGGCTTGCCTATTTGCATGCCTCTTCCTTTGGACCAGTCTCTGCAACCTTGCAGATACAGAGAATGATGTAGAAAGAAATTACTGTGTTGCCTTCTGCTTGCTTGCTGAGAGAGTGTAGGTAAAAGCAGGACTGAGAATAAAGAAGAGCAGCAGGGCTGGGAGTCAGCAGGGGGACCTTGCTTCAAGATGGGCCTTGGAAGGTGCCAGTTGATGTTTGCCACTGATAGTGACTCTAGGAAATAGTATTTATAAACTAAATGACTTTGGAGGTTGTGAAGTTATGTCTGTTAATCTGGTTGCTTAAATGCTAGCCAGACCTGGGATGTGGAGTGGCAGTCTATAGATACATCATTAAATGAAACAACGAGACTGAGGTTCTAAAAAAATAATTGAGATTTGCATTATTTAACTACGTTAACCAGAAACCAGAAGAACTGTAGATTGAAACCAGAGATATTACCATGGGCAAATGCAAAAAGACTTAATTCTGTAGCTGAAAGAAAAGCCATGATGGACAATGGAGGGATCCTGAAATTGTCAATGACAGATGAGAAACAAAAATGAAAGAGAATCCTACGTGTGACTTTTTAACAACTTTCACAAAGGAACAAAGAATCATATGTGGGCAATGAAGAAACTACCGTACAATAGCACTCATTTTACATGCTAACAAGGTTATGCTCAAAATCCTACAAGGTAGGCTTCAGCAGTATGTGGACCGAGAACTCCCAGAAGTACAAGCTGGATTTCAAAGGGGATAGGAACTAGAGACCAAATTGCTAACATGCCCTGGATTATGGAGACAGCCAGAGAGTTCCAGAAAGATATCTACTTCTGCTTCGTTGACTATGCAAAAGCCTTTGATTGTGTGGACCACAGCAAACTATGGCAAGTTCTTAAAGAAATGGGAGTGCCT